TTTTGCTTGTGTTAAAGCCAGAAGTACCTAGGAGTTATATAGATCTTATCTGTGTGTTCAAGAATGCAGTGCTGCTATCAGAAAGCAAAGAGCAGCCTCAAGCATTTCTGGATCACACTACCTGAATACACCAGAAGACTTTACCAGAAGTTTTAAACTCGAGGAAACGCATGAGACATTTTGAAGGACTGAGCTGAGTCCAAATAATGGTGTCCAAATTTAAAGGAAAAAAAGCTCCCTTTCAGGCTTAGCAAATTGCTGCATAAAGGGCAATCACACAATTTTTGTTGCTTCTACAGTATGGAGGTATGCTTGTTATAAATTTCACTGTGCAGGGCCTGGTCAAGCTAGAAGGAAGTTCTGTGAAACATCCCATACAATCCCATCGTCCAGCTTAGGGCTTCCTGAATTGTTCCAAGTAAAACCATAAGCAGTACCTCACATGCACCTTTGCACCCATATATTTGTCTACAGCTTTTCCTCCTTTTCTGCCCCCTCCCACCCCCCCAGTGTGAAGCAACTTCCCTACCAGTCATCACCAACCACGGTGGTCAACAGAAGTAACAGGACAAATAATATCTAAATAAATCTTTACAACTCAAGCTCCTGGAACACCCCTCAAGAAGCTCCACTACCCACACTTTTAAACCCTGCTGGAACCCCAAGATTCATAAAGCAACCACTGAGATATGCACTGACTACTGCACAAAAATCAGCAAGTGCCTCTCAGCCAACCTTAAAAATACCTCTCAAAATCACACACAACTACGCTGACCTAGAAACTGCTGACCTACAAAACCACTATTCTTACTATTTGATCTCAATAGTAACTTCCAGACCGCTTCTGCATTAAAACCTTGACATACCTTCCCAGGAAATTACCTACGTTAGCAGTGAACAAACTCTTGATTTTAAAAACAGATTGTCATTTCTCCAACCAGCCTAAAACACAATCAAAACCAGATTTAAAATATGTGAACTGCAGTGAGTGAGATTAAGCTTGGACACTCCCAGTCTGTTCCCCACCTCTCTCAGACCAGAACAGACCACCTTAAAAATTACATTTTACAAAGTTCTATAGATTTAGCCATACACAGACAGAATTTTAACTCCTCTTCAAATTTGAAATTTCCCTCTCCAGTCTACATAAAAATTTGGTGAACATGAGAGCAAGTGAGCCTTGTACCTCAGCTTCCCCATCAATGGGAGCATCCCTGCTGGAATATTCTCCCTGACATAATCCTGAATATTCAGGTGGTTCAGTATGTTTGTGATGACCCAACGCTGGCTGAAGAAACCAGGCTCAGTAAAACTACCAATAGGTAAATGCACCTAAAAAACACAGCTCTGTATAATAATAGATGCTGGACAGTTCTTGATATTTTGAAGGGGTACAAGAAACACAAGATACTTCTCCCTCCTGTCTGTTACTGGAAATCCTCCAAAATCTTCAAGTAAACGTTATGAGCTGCAGTAACCTGGAACAGAATCGGCTTCTCTTCTCTAGAGCCCAGCACGAAACGCTCACTGTTCCTGCCGCTCTCAATTTGAAACTCTCCAGTTTAAGTACAATGTACTTGTTTCTCTTCCATGTCTTACTGTGCCCACCTCTCACGACAATTATCAGCACAACGCTCATGTTTCGAACAATAACATGAGCACTCAATGAATTTACCCATTTCTGTAGGGACTTCACCACCATTTATTTTTGCACACATTTAGAATGTTTTAAGAACAGCTACCTAGCCTGCCTGTGTGCAAGGCCATGTATGTAAGAACTTTTACCATATATAGTTTCTTCTCCATTTCACTGTGGTTTATACTGACTCTTTCACTTCCTACTGAGTCATCAAACACCAAGAACTCGCATGTATAAGTATTCTTTCAAACTAAAAGAATGAGGAAGCTCACGAATAGGTCACGTGATGAGTTTTAAAATGAATGCTAATATTCTTATCAGATCTCTGTGCTTGATTCTTTCCATTGATGCAACTCCAAAACAAAAGCCTTAAACACAGTTACAGCAATTTTACAGGCCACTAAGTAACTTACCATTTGTCCTGTAACAATAAGAACATCCACCTTTAATGGTTTAGACCTTTGAGGTGCCATTGCCTCCCTCCCTCCTACACTACATGTTGCAAGAACTTCCTTCTAGTCACCTCTTCCTCAAATATTGGTTGCAGCTTGACACATTCAAAGCCCTTGTGCAGCCTGGCAAGAGCAGTAGATTTCAAAGACAAGCCTAAAGTTAAAACCTCCACCTGATTTTTCCAAGGATATTCTCCATTTTTTTATCTAACATTTCTGACACCTGGTAGGAGATCTAATTTCAATCACAGTTTTAAGTATGACATATCAGAAATCACTCTGACATTATACATCTCTTGTCATACAGGAAAAATATTATCATCAAAATACTGGTTTGACAATACAGAGCTACTTGATAATCTTCAAATGCAGTTGAGCCTCAAAGATTTACTGAACAGAATTTTCTTCTTCGTTATCTCAATACTAGTTCAATTACCCCGATTCGATCTAAATATTTAAAAGATAACGTTATGTCGTAAAGAAATCTGTGTTGCACACACGGCTTGGGAAATTTGATAAGGACAAAAGCTTTTATCCATGTCCCACACCTGAGACCAGCCAAGGCACAACACTGCTGTCACTACCAATACACCAAACATTTCACAACTCAGTGATTATTGCCATATAAAGGACCATAGCGAAGGATGAAGCTCTTTTTTTTTTTTTTTTCTGTTTTGGGCCTGACAACAGGGATATTAAATAATAAAGATATTATTACTGAAAAACCACAAACAACAACAACAACAACAAAAAAAAGCAAAGCAGCTTCCATATCCCTTTGTAAGAAAAAAGTGCTAAATGTTATATTTTTTCCTTTTCCTAAAAGATACTATAAAAAGTGTCAAATGTTCTAGACCCCAGGCTTAATAATGATAATTTTTGCTATAGGAGGAAAACTGAAGAGACATTAAAACTGTCAAACCCCAGACCTGTCAAATATGATGTTCTAGTTCTTCTTCCTGAACCATTCTAATCATTTCAGATGCTAATTGGAGAACCCTCTAATTCAGGATGCTGAATGTCTACCAGCAGCATCCTTTGTCTCAGCTGTTCTCTTCCTAGGCTTATAAAAGAAAAAAAAAAAAAATTCTTTTTTATTCCAAGCGTCTATATAAAATAAAACTTCATTTTTTTTTGCCATTCAAAAGATCTTAATGTACCACCAGTTATGTTAACTCTCCATAATAAAAATTATATTGCTTTACTACGGGAAACCCTAGATTGCTAAAAAAAAAAAATTACCATGGGGAAATAGCATCTTTTTTTTTTTTTTTTTTTTTTGCTCTAAAATGGTATCTTTTTCACTTCCTGTCGAGGTGCCTCGCAGCCTGACAAAAGGATGGATTTCCAGTGGGTGCCTGCACACTCGAGGGAGCAAGAAAAGGTGAAAAGGACGGGGAAATTTAAAAAAAAAAATGCCAATTTTGAGGGTACGTTGTGGATCAGAAAGGTATTTTAAAAAATGCCAATTTTGAGGTTATACTGTGGATCAGAAAGGTACTAATGAAAGGATGCTTAAAAAAAAAAAAAACAGAAAAAAACCAAACAAACGAAAAAAAAACCACCACAGAAAACCAACAACCCCACCAAAACATTTCCCTGAACTAATAATCCTGCACACAGAGGACACATCCTGGTTGCCCCATGTATAATGCGCTCATTCAGAAATTCTAAAAATCGGTATTTTTGACTAAACTCGCGTCGCTACAGAGCCTCGCTCAGGTCACGCAGAGAAATCAGAAACCGACGGTAACACGGCGAGAGGCCGAGGGTCCGGGGGCGGGCAGGGCAGCCCCGGCCCCGCATCCCGCCCGGTGGTCCCCGCTGGACTGGGATCACGGGATCAGCGGGCGCAGGGCCCGGAGCTCCCCCCGCCCATTCATTCCCGGGCCCGGGATGGCGGCCGGGCCCGGTGGCGGCAGCGGCAGCACGGCCGGGCGGGCGCGGCCCGCGGGCGGTGCCGGCAGGAAGCCGGGCCGGCTCCGGGAGCGGGGAGGGGGGAGTCTCCCGGCTTTTTCCCCTTCCCCCTCCGCCCCGGCGGCAGGGCGGGTCCCGGGCGCCGCCGGGGAGAGAGAGAGAGACTCACCCCGGTGCCGTTGTCGCACACCACCACCTTCCTGCCCAGCGTGTCCATCGCCGCGACAGCGACCGCGGGGGCTCCGCACCGGCACCGATCGCGACACCGCCCGCGACAGCGACACCGGCAGCGGCACCGCCCCGACCTCCGCCGGGCCCCCCGCGCGCGCGCGCACGCCGGAAGCCGTCAGCGCGCGCCGCCCGCGGCGCCCCGCCCCGCCCCACCCACCGGCTGCCCGGCCCGGCCCGGCCCGGCCCGTTGCCATGGCGGCGGGTCCGCGGCGCCGAAGCGGCCCCCAGACCCAGTCCCCAGGTCGCACCACGTCGCTTCCTGTCAGGAACAGGTTGGCCGGCAGGACCGGAGAAGCGATTCTTCCCCCTGCACTCGGCACTGGTTAGGCCGCACCTCGGGCGCTGTGTCCAGTTCTGGGCCGCTCAATTTAGGAAGGATATCGAGGTGCTGGAGCGTGTCCAAGGAAGGGCAAAGAGGCTGGTGAAGGGACACAAGTCATGTGAGGAGCGGCTGAGGGAGCTGGGGTTGTTCACCCTGGAAAAGAGGAGGCTCAGGGGAGACCTCATCACTCCCTACAATTCCCTGACAGGAGGTTGTAGCCAGGTGGGGGTCAGTCTGTTCTCCCAGGCAACCAGCAACAGGACAAGAGGGCACAGTCTTAAGCTACACCAGGGGAGGTTTAGGTTAGACATTAGGAAGAAATTCTTTGCAGAGAGAGTGGTCAGACATTGGAATGGGCTGCCCAGGGAGGCGGTGGATTCACCATTCTTGGAGGTGTTTAAGAGACTGGTTGTGGCACTCAGTGCCATGGTGTGGTAGGCAAGGTGGTGTTGGGTCAAAGGCTGGACTCGATGATCTTGGAGGTCTTTTCCAACCTAGCTGATTCTGTGACCTCAATCACACCAGGTCCCCCCAAGTCACCAGATGGGACTGTTTGTTTTCGTCTCCTACCCATGCCCACGCAGGGACGGACCCTTAGGGGCTGCCCGCCCTCACCCCTCAGACAGTCTGCTCCCCGCAGGGGTCTGTCTGCCCACTCTGAGGGAAATCAGGCATCTGCTAAAAGAACTGTTTGTAATGAATATTGTGTTGTTTTCATAGATCAACATCCCGGAAGAGCTTTTACTCTTCCCAGGTTTTGCCCAGGTCTGGAAAACAGTTTGTATTTGTGTGATGGGCCTGGAATAAAAGGGGAGGTTAAGTGTGATCTCCCGGCTCCTCTCTGGCAGCCTGGTATTCGTTTCATGTGTTGCCCAAAATTCCACTGACTTCCACAAGAAGTCAGGAACAAACCAACACCACCCCCATTTTTCACACAGAATTACACAATCAGTTAGGTTGGAAAAGACCTCCGAGATCATCAAGTCCAACCTGTGACCAAACCCCACCTTGTCAAGTAGACCATGGTACTAACTTTCTTCCATGCCATGAGCTATGTCAGTCCACTACCAGCAGCAGCCTGTTACAGAAACAATGTAAGTATAAGGGTTTTTGCACAGTTATGAGAGTTGCATATGTATAGATGTATATTATTTTATATATATACATGATTATAATGGGGTTTTTTCTACCTTTAATTTTACAGAGTAGTGGGAACAATCAGAAATTTTTAAAATACAGGTCTGTAGGCCATAATATTTGACTCTTTTTTTGCTTTAGTCACATCAAGATATTGAGAATGAGGATACAACATCACCTAGTAGGACAAAGAGGCTATGGAAACAAACATGGACTAATCCAGTGGCATGCAGATGTGATGGAAGGACATCCTGGTCACTCTGCAGCAGCTTTACCTGAGTATGGGTTTCTTTCTAATATAGATGTGATTTGCGTTTTAATCTACTTTTCAGGGAATGATGTTTTGATATTTGTACAACCAAAGGGTTTACGTTGCTGGTTGAAGCCAGATGTGTAAAGCAATTGCCTTAAAAGCCTGCTCTTTGTCCAGATAAGTTAATTAATCTGTATATCTGAAATCACTTGGCTTGTTGAACCCAACATAGAGGGCTCACTCAGGGAAACTACACCCTGTTTACTGCTCTGCTGTTGGACTTGCTGGGTAATTCTGGACAAAGCACTTAGCCCATCTATATCTTAGTTCCAATAAGCTGGCTATAGTACCATGCCATATCATACTAATGCTCATGAATTAAGCATCTGCAGTCTCTGAATGTGAAATGTTTCATTTGGGGTTGAAATCATCTTGATTTGCCAGATAGAATGATTCAGCTATGCCTCCTTATGTACAGTGATGGCAAAATTTACTCTGCTGTGAGGCAAACTACATTTTCGTTTGGCAGACCTGAAGTAAAAAAGAACAAACTGCCTCCACTAACTTTTCTGAGGTTAGATATTCACTAGATCCTTATATATGTTTAAGATTTTAATTTTTATAACATGTAACTTTTTAATAACATTTTGTAGCTTTTATCACATGAGCCTTTTCCTACCAGGGATTTACAGTGTTAGTTAAAGAAAACGCTGTATGACAAAAGGTTATTTTGAGAACTGCCAGCAGAAATTGCGCTCTAATTAAAGTCACTCAAGAAATAGTGATATTGAGGTCTGTTAAGTATAAATATGGTTAATTTGCTGTTCGTAACACAGCATATAAGATTACGTATCAAAGGGATGCAAGTTCTGCACTGGAAGTACCAGAACTTACACACTGCATGGTATAGTCGGTAAATTCATCACTCCTCTTGCTACCAGCTGTTGCTGTTAGCTTTGGACAGCTTTAAAAGATTTTTGTTTTGTACTAAAGGTCATGTACAACACAGGAGAGGAAATACAGTGTGGTTTGAACAGACATCTATTTTAAAACTTAGTTTACTCATTAAGTTGAACTGAGATATTACTTCTTGTTCTGAAGAAAAAATGAAACAGTGTCTGTAGGAAGAAAGTTGCAGAGCACGGTAACAACCTTTTCAGAACCAGGAAAGGAAGTTTTGTCGTGGTCTGTACTCGTCAACTTCATTTGCTGTGAGCAGGGTAACACAGAATGAGATTTAGTTTAACTACACCCAAAATACACAGGAATTGGTATTTCTTTCGTAGGTCAGTCACTTGATACAAAGAGATGGAAAAGCTTAAAAATCAATGAATTGATGGTTACCATATAAATATGAATTATCTTTTTTCTGTATATATTGCACATATTCCATTCTGTGTATGTTCCAGTTAGTGCAGCTTGCTTAGAAGGTTGTAAAGAAATAAGCAAAGAGAAGAAAAAAAAATATCCTATCTTCAGCGTAATTTTGTATATATGCTTCATAACTTGGGGGTTTTGCAGGAAGATGAAAAGTAACCTGTGCATAATATTGTGCAAATAGATTTGTCTTCCAAAAAGCTAGTGTCTGCTTGCTGCTGCTCCTTGTAAAAGCCGTGGAGAGAACAAGTTTCCTGGTAGGAGAAGGTGTGGCCGCTTGCTGTGACTTTTGTGAGTGAGCAAGACTTTGTGATAGAAGGTAATAAAAATATGATGACTAAACAGAGTGCTGAAGCTTATCAGATAAAACACTACCACCACCTTACACTGAGTTTAATGGACTTCTATGAACTTGCCATAAGTGCTCCGTGCTTATCCTAATGCGCAGGCATAGAGAACCCGTGCAAACAGAGGCAGGAAATACTCTGAGCAGAAAGGGAAAATGAGTTATTGGGACAGCTGTCTCACACCCTGCTCAGTATGGCAGAGAAAGGAGGGTCTGGAAGGAACTGGCGATATCTCACACACAGCAAAGCAAACAGTGCGTTCCTTAGTCCCACTTCCACTTCCCACAGAGCCATCTCTCTCAGTGTAGGGGAATGGGGTTTGCACCTACAAACTCTGTGCTGTCTGGAGAAACTGAGGTCAGTTCCTATGCTGATGAGGCTGGTTACCATGTTGTATTGGCAGGGCAGGAGGAAGATATTCTACCTAAGAATTAGCCTTAATCTTTTCTCTCCCATAATCTGTTTTGCTTCTTATTGAGGCATTTTGCCTTTGTCTTGGAATTACGTCATTGCTTTACCAAAAATAGCAGACTAGAAATATTCATGGAAATTGTCCCCTGACTAAGCACTGGGTATCATTTTCTGGATTTATGAAAGTGTGGGCAAACATTTAGGAAGTCTGAATACTTCTGAATAAATCATGGTTTAAAGGGCAAATAAGCCCTCAACAGATACACTTCCAACATTGTCTGACTACCTCATTAGCATTAAGGGACTCTGACCTTCACCAAATCCTGGTTATCTAACTTTCCTGGTTATCACAACCAACCTTGCTCACGTGCCAGAGGCAGTGTGGTCATGGGAGCCTATGCAGGATTAATTTTCCTGGTAGGAAAAGAGAACTCAGTTTTCAAGCTGCATCTGACAAGAGTGCTCAGCAGGCCTGGATTTCTGTGAAGGACAAAGAGGTCTGGATTCTCCTCCCTATATAAACACCACCCATTCTGAGTCATCTGAGCTGGAAGTACTGGCATAATTGCAAAACATCTTCACACAGATGGTATGATCCAGTGTAGCTTCCACGAGGATTCTTGAGTGAGGTATTTGGCTGTTTAATTAAAATATTATGAGAACAGGTTTCTATTGTTGGGTGTTTTTCACTAACATGTTTTTCCTTTTTAGAATCACAGGGTTAGACAGTAAGAACTTTTATTTTTGTTGACTCATTTCCAGATAAGCATAAGAACACATTGTAAAGGTCACTTTGTGTCTTAAATTCAACAAGAGTTCCGTTCCATGTCGTGTCCCTAGCGTGTGTCCCATCTGCCATTCAAAACTTCTAAAACACAACTTCAAACAAAGTTATCTTCTAGAGTTCACACACTGCAAATCACCATGAATTTTGACCTCTGTAGATGTGATGGTGCTTTGTCACGAGGGCCCACATCCCTCCAGGCCATGTACTTGTGTTGATTTCACTGAAAGTTAGGGGCCACAAAGAAAATCTGCCTTTACATCTATGGATTCTTATTTGAAACAGGTGAATTTCTGACAACCTAAGTGGAAGCACTGAAATGTGCAGATGGGGTGTGTTGGACACGGGACTCATGGCAAGCTTCTGGATGCTCTGTCTGGACCCTGCTCTCCATTGCCCTAAATATTTTGCAGTTGTTTAGGGGTGTGCAGAGGATGCAAAGTATTAATAAATCTGAATTCTCCACTTACGTCACCAGTAACATTTTGAGGACGCTTTGCAGAGATATAAATGGCAACCAATGGCATTTCAGAGTTTCAGGAACCTGATTTCCAGAGATTTTTGAGTTCTTTTTATACCAGCTGAAGTGAATGAAACCATTTTCTGAAAATTGGGTTCCAGATATTAAAGTCTGGCCGGCAAAGCTGGGTTATCCAAAATTAGATGCCAATTCTGAAAGGATAAATTGTACGTGATGATCTCATGGGGGAAGTCTGAGACAGAGCCAAGACTAGAATCTAAATTTCTGATGCTCAGTCCTGTGCATTTACCACAACACTGATTTTTTAATACTGTGAGCTTGAATACTGACTTGTTAAAAAAATAAATGCAGTTTTCAAAACACATCCACAGCATATGCAAAATAGTGTTTTGGTGTAATTGGTTGAATTCTGGTAGCTGAAGTAAATTTGCACCTCAAATTTTCAAAGAAAGGGTTTCAAATAAATTCATTCTTTGCTGCAGTGAAGTTGAACCTCATAAGAATGAATGTTACTTTTAACAAATTGATTAATGGATTTTTTTTACCGTTGTTTATCTGTTTTCTGCACTTTCAGATTCAGTTTTTACCAAATATTTTACATGACTATATAGGTGGTTGCTGAAAAATACAGCAGGAGATGAAGACATCTGTTCGTTGGCTTCCTGGTCTATGGGGTGCAGGAAAGCCACTGTCCTGCTGTTCTGCAGGGGTTTTGATGCTCTCCTCCCTGAGCTCTCCTGCTCAGGCTCCTGCAGTGCTTGGAGAGCTCTCTACAATATTTTGAAGACCAGGGAGGTTTGGTTAAATAAGAGACACTTCTAAATTAAGTGCAATGTCTTTCATTAAGTAGCTTTTCCAGAAGGTATACAAATTATCAATATCTGATATTGCTGGGAGTTTGAACTGCACCTTCCACTTTTTTTTCAAAAGACTTGGTATTTTAAGGCCTTCTGTTTTTGACAAAGTCCAAAAACTTACTAAGATTGAGAATGAAAATGGAGAAATAAACAGGGAAATAAACAGCACCACTACCATAAAGTAAGGAAAACCTCTCTTCTCTTGATACACTGAAAAATATCACAAACTTTCAATTAGCAATTTTACAGAGATTATTTGCCCTGAATTTCAAATTGAATAAGACAAACAAGAAGTAAAGGAAAGGAAATACAAGTGTGTGTTTGTTTTTAAATTGCAGGTGAACACTGGATGTAGTCAAAACTTTTGTGTGAGAATTTTTATGCTTCCTGACAAGGGAGATATTGATATCTCAGACTAGATAGTAATAGAGGAATGTGCATTTACTTGGATTCCAGTAGCCAGGCTGATGAAGAGAAAGTATCAGATGTGAATAAAAGACTGTGATGCTGCTGCCTAATTTATTAAAAGCAAAGAACTGTCAGACATCTGAAGTGTGCAAAGCATAAGACTGGCTCTAATTTCTCAGTTTTGGCAGTTTTGATGCCACTTGTACTTTAAGTTAATATTAATCGTTGGGGGGAAAAAAATGCACCCTTTCTCCCTTTAATCTTTCTCCCTTTAATCAACAGTTTATAAATGCAGTAGCACATTTCAGATGCCAGTAATGTATTTTTATCTGGCAATTGATTAATGTGCATAACAAGATGGATAGGCCTGTCTGCTGAGACACAGAACAGTGAGACAC